AAAAAAGTTAAACAATCATACGTAGAGTATGGGCCTCTATGGTTCTACACGAGTCTCTGGATCTCTATGGGTCTCTATAACAGGTTCACTAACCACTGCGCCACCACTCCCTTCGCACATACATACAAAGACAAAGATCACCCGTATAACTTTAACGGACTGTTGGGGCAAGTGCTGTTCGCGAGAACCTATGAAGGCCGGCACGGCACACGAGGGGGTGGGTGGCCAGCACCCGCCCGGCCGCCTTTGTCTCCCCAATGGCGACGTTTACACACCGCACCAGATACTCATTTGAGGGTGAGTCGACCTAGGGGAGGCCCGGACCCGGTTTAAATCATCGTCTCCGCTGTCGGCGGCCCTGAGCGGGAACAACTCTCGGGTCGCCGGGTTCCTAGCGTCGAGGCGTAGCGCTCACCGCTCCCCTACAGCACCACCACCACGCACATGTCCGGAGATTCTAAATTAAGCACACATCTAATTACACTTAATGATGCATTGTATGACAGATTTGCGTAATTACGGCTCGTTCTTTTGCACGTTTTTAATAATTGAACGGGTCCCATTGGAGTCTATTAAGACACGATAGCCGTACACGGCTTACTAATGGTCACGCGTAATCAAGAAGACTGCTGCTGATGATGATGTTGATGATGATGGTGAGTGGGTCACGTGTCGGCCGTGTGTGTACACATACACACACACACAGGTGTGTGTGTGTACGTACACACACACGGGTGTGTACGTACACACACGGTACGTACACACACACACGGGTGTGTACACACACATACACACAGGCACAGGTGTGTACACACACACGGGTGTGTACACACACACACACGGGTGTGTACACACACAGACACGGGTGTACATGCAGGTGGGATGGGTATATCCCCAGGATATGGAGCAATTCGTCCGTGACCAATACACACACAATGTATATATACATTGTGTATGTATACATAATGTGTGTATACACAATGTGTATATATATACATTGTGTATGTATACATTGTGTGTATATACACAATGTGTGTATGTACATGCTGTGTATGTATACATTGTGTATATACACAATGTGTGTATGTACATGCCGTGTATGTATACATTGTGTGTATATACACAATGTGTGTATGTACATGCTGTGTATGTATACATTGTGTGTATATACATAATGTGTGTATGTACATGCGGTGTATGTATACATTGTGTGTATATACATAATGTGTGTATGTACATGCGGTGTATGTATACATTGTGTGTATATGCATAATGTGTGTATGTACATGCCGTGTATGTATACATTGTGTATATATACATAATGTGTGTATGTACATGCTGTGTATGTATACATTGTGTATATGCATAATGTGTGTATGTACATGCCGTGTATGTATACATTGTGTATGTATACATAATGTGTGTATGTACATGCCGTGTATGTATACATTGTGTATATACACAATATGTGTATGTACATGCTGTGTATGTATACATTGTGTGTATATACACAATGTGTGTATGTACATGCCGTGTATGTATACATTGTGTATATATACATAATGTGTGTATGTACATGCCGTGTATGTATACATTGTGTGTATATACATAATGTGTGTATGTACATGCTGTGTATGTATACATTGTGTGTATATGCATACTGTGTGTGTATGTACATTGTGTATATCAGTTTAACACGTAAGGAAGCTTTCGCCACCAATGTTATTCAGCATAAAAGTGTTTGGGGTTAGATCGTCGCAAGTATAAATGTGTCGTGACCCTCCACCACCCGACACAGCCGGCAAGGTTTGTCACGTAAACGACGCGACAATTAGTTTACTCTCCAGCCCACCGGTGTGTTGGAGAGTAATTAAATTATTACTAATCTATTATATAATTACAATAACCCCCCCCCTCCTCCCCCACCTCTGATCTCCGCACCTGATGGGCCCAGTGATGAGGTCGTCTTGCTGCGCGATGTAAGATCATAAACAGGCGGATTGCTTCACTATTCTGGCTAATCGGGCCATGCTGCTGGTTGATCTACTTACCAGCGACACGTCACGATGCCCGCATTGTGAATGTTGTGGATTTACTCTCCAGCACACCGGTGGGCTGAAGTAGTAAACTCATTGTCGCGTTGTTTATTTACGTGACAAACATTGCCGGCTGTGTCGGGTGGTGGAGGGTCACGACACATTTGTACTTACGGCGCTCTGACCCAAAAAGCTTCACTGTGACTGGATATATCCCTTAGTCGGCACCACCCCCACTGGCATCGCTTTAGCGGTTTCAAATGTCTCAAAGCGGCCAATCTGAGGGTGATTGATGCGACAAGCGTCGCCTGAAACGAGTGTGGAAGAGGCGGGGAGGCCGATTGGGGATTCCAAGTCAGCCCCTCCCGCGTTGGCCGTGTGATTCAGTCGGCGTGGGCTGTGGCCTGGCAGTCTCACTGTGGAACCGTCCACGTCTGCGCCACGGTGGCTAGGAGATTTCAACTACCTCGCCTGGTATGCAGGAGGTCGTGGCTTCCATCACGACCCTGACGCCTGCTGTATAATTGGAGTGTGTGCGTATCTCTCTCTCATCATCACGGTGGCTAGGAGATGTCAACTCCCTCGCCTGGTATACAGGAGGTCGTGGGTTCCATCACGACCCTGACGATGCCTGCTGCTGTATAATTGGAGTTTGCGTCCCTCTCTCTCATCATCATCACGGTGGCTAGGAGATGTCAACTACCTCGCCTGGTATACAGGAGGTCGTGGCTTCCATCACGACCCTGACGCCTGCTGTATAATTGGAGTGTGTGCGTATCTCTCTCTCATCATCACGGTGGCTAGGAGATGTCAACTCCCTCGCCTGGTATACAGGAGGTCGTGGGTTCCATCACGACCCTGACGATGCCTGCTGCTGTATAATTGGAGTTTGCGTCCCTCTCTCTCATCATCATCACGGTGGCTAGGAGATGTCAACTCCCTCGCTTGGTATACAGGAGGTCGTGGGTTCCATCACGACCCTGACTCCTGCTGTATAATTTGAGTTTGCGTGTCTCTCTCTCTCATCATCATCACGGTGGCTAGGTGATGTTAACTACCTCGCCTGGTATACAGGAGGTCGTGGCTTCCATCACGACCCTGACGATGCCTGCTGTATAATTGGAATTTGCGTGTCTCTCTCTCTCTCATCATCATCACGGTGGCTAGGAGATGTCAACTACCTCGCCTGGTATACAGGAAGTCGTGGGTTCCATCCCGACCCTGACGCCTGCTGTATAATTGGAGTTTGCGTGTCTCTCTCTCTCATCATCATCACGGTGGCTAGGAGATGTTAACTACCTCGCCTGGTATACAGGAGGTCGTGGGTTCCATCACAACCCTGACGATGCCTGCTGTATAATTGGAATTTGCGTGTCTCTCTCTCATCATCATCACGGTGGCTAGGAGATGTCAACTCCCTCGCCTGGTATACAGGAGGTCGTGGGTTCCATCACGACCCTGACGCCTGCTGTATAATTGGAGTGTGCGTGTCTCTCTCTCTCCCCGTCGTGGATTGTTTTTCTCGAGTCCTCCGGTTTTTTCCTTCCACATTTCGAAGCAACATCACGGCGCTTAGTGTACTTTGGCTGCTGCTACAGATGTACACGCGACGGTGATGATCAGCCCCACTTGGTTGAGCTATCATTTGTGATCAGCCCCACTTGGTTGAGCTATCATGTGTGATCAGCCCCACTTGGTTGAGCTATCATGTGTGATCGCCAGCTCCCTTCTGAAGAAAGTGCTACACAGCAGCGTAGTGGACACTACCCTGGCGACGTAAACATAGTTTAGTTTAGACGACCAGGAGATGATCTACCATGAGATCAACTTCCATGAGATCAATTACCATGAGATCAATTTCCATGAGATCAACTTCCATCAGATCAACTCGTGGACTACAATGAGATCAACTACCATGGGTATTTGACCATACTTCACAACGTTTGGTGGGTACGAGTCGGCAAGCGTAGAAAGTGTAGGGGGCCATATCCGTGCAGTACAATCATTGATGCCTCTGCGTTGCTCATATAATCTGATTCTGATTGAACGACGGAGACCCGCAGCCTGCACCACGTGTTGCGCAGCGAGGTGCTCACTCATCCAATCACGAGGCAGCCTCGAAACCTGCTTAGCTTGCAACGTCACGGGCTTCAACGTCGCAGGGCGTCGTTAACCGAACCTGAATCGATTTCGGTACACACGCACACACACACACGTGGTAGGATGGAGCGCACCAGGAACACGAAAGGTGTTGTTTTTCTGAAAAAAAACGTGAAGGAAACGGAGCGAGAGGACGACCCTCACACAGAGAACGGCTCGTGACGACGTCGAAAGAGATTGGTGGCAGAAAGACGCGGCCACTGCTTGAGCCACGTGAGCGCGACAAGACGGAGAGGAAAGTGGACACGACACATGACGACACATGCAGGGGACACACACCCACTCCGGCCTGCCCGCCTAGGGGACACACACCCACTCCGGCCTGCCCGCCTAGGGACACACACCCACTCCGGCCTGCCCGCCTAGGGGACACACACCCACTCCGGCCTGCCCGCCTAGGGACACACACCCACTCCGGCCTGCCCGCCTAGGGACACACACCCACTCCGGCCTGCCCGCCTAGGCGCCCGTGGGGGTCGCGATGAGGATGAGTCGGTGCGGGGGTTTGGGTTTGGGGCGACTCACGAGGAAATCCCATTTGGCCGCTCAGAGCAATGGGTGCGCGCTCGCGCGGGGCACGTGACGGCTGGAGGGGTCGAGACTAAGGACGGAGCGGCAGCTAAAGGATGGAGAGGGGGAGGGGTAATGGGGGGTGGGGGGTGAAGCGGAGATGCAAAATCAGCTGGAAATGAGGCCTCCATCTCGCAGTGGATAGATCATGGTGATACGGTGAGAGATATTCAGGAGAGCTTCACGGGGCTTTGTGTAATTTAGACTTAATTTTATTATTCAAGTTCTGTCAATCAAGCGTAATACATTAATACGTGGTGCGTGTGTGCGTGTTGTCTGTGTGTATCCTGTGAGTGTATTGTGTGGTGTCCGTGTGTGTTGTGTGTGTTGTCTGCGCTACTAACCCGGTGACCCGAGTTCGATTCCTGCTCACGGTCAACACCAGTGACGATTATATGAACCGGTCCTGGGCCTCCCCTAGGTCGACTCAGCCTCGAATGAGTACCTGGTGCGGTGTGTAAAACATCGCCACTGCGGAGACAAAGGCGGCCGGGCGTGGTGTTGGCCACCCACCCCCTCGTGTGCCGTGCCGGCCTTCATAGGTGCTGCTCACTAACATTACTTGCCCCAACAGTCTGATAAGGCTATACGGGGGAATCTTTGTCTTTGTAGAGCACGTGTGTGTCTGTACGTGTGTCAGCACGTGTGTGTCAGCACGTGTGTGTCTGTACCTGTGTGTCTGTACCTGTGTGTGTCTATACGCGTGTCTGTACGTGTGTGTCTGTATGTGTGTCTGTACCTGTGTGTCTGTACCTGTGTGTCTGTACGTGTGTGTCTGTACCCGTGTGTGTCTGTATGTGTGTCTGTACGTGTGTGTTTGTACGTGTGTGTCTGTACCTGTGTGTGTCTGTACGTGTCTGTACCTGTACGTGTGTGTCTGTACGTGTGTCTGTACCTGTGTCTGTACGTGTGTGTCTGTATGTGTCTGCACGTGTGTCTGTACGTGTGTCTGCACGTGTGTGTCTGCACGTGTGTGTCTGCACGTGTGTGTCTGCACGTGTGTGTCTGTACCTGTGTGTCTGCACGTGTGTCTGTACGTGTGCGTGTTATTCGCGTGACGCGTGGAAAATTGGAACACAGCAGCAAGAGGCCATGAGCAGTCCGCTCGATCTCGTGCCGAAACAGATCGCAGTTTAGACATCAGCAGCACCACCACCATCGTCACCACCATCGTTATTGTGGTAACATGATGTTAATAATATCATCACATCATCATCATCGCGGTCCCGGACCCGAGCCCACGTCGCATCCACTGCCGTGCAAACATCGGAGGAGGCGGAGTTCGCGGCGCCGAGTTGTCTTGGCGTCATCGTGGCGTGGCCAGCATCATGGCTCACCGCAGACACAGCTCACCAGCATGGCTTACCACAGACACAGCTGACAGCTCACCACCATCGCTCACCGCAGACACAGCTGACAGCTCACCAGCATGGCTCACCGCAGACACAGCTCACAGCTCACCAGCATCGCTAACTCACCACACCCCGTCACTCGACACTCAACTCGGCATCATTCCATCATCATCATCAATCAATTTTTTCAGAAATGCTTCTTTGTGTGTTTAGTTTGTTGTCCTTCCCCGGCACACAGACACAATCATCACCAACCCCACCGTCTCTACTCACAACCCCTCACCCCATCATCCTCGACTCCAGCGACAGGGGTTCACCACTGACACCACCACGCACCACGGCTCATCATCGCCGTATCCTCACCCCCCAGTGTAATAACCCACCATCCTCACCACCATCCTCACCACAACACATCTCACCAGGCACACACACTCAGCAACAACAACAACAATGACAACAAACAGCCGCCGTCATTCGCCACAAAGTGGCGGAGACGTCACCACAGCGCGTTGTGCCAGGCTACGTGCACGTCGAGGCCATCAGGGTAAAGTGTCGAAGGCTCACCACAGCTCCCTCCCCCTCTCTCTCTGCGGTCTCACCGCCACCACCACCGCCAGCCTCTTTGTCTCTACAACTCCACAGTTCAGTGCCGAGTCCCACGCTCATTCCAAGTTCCACCAATCAATCAATACACCACGTGGCGGTGGCGGCGGTGGCCACCACCACCTCCTCCTCCTCCCCGCGACACCTCACGAACTGTCGTCGCAGTGTTTGCAGCCGCTGCCGTGAAACCCCGAGCAGCCGCACTTATCGCGTCCTCCTCCCCCTCCCCCCGTGGTCGCTGCCACAGCGGCCGCGGCTGCCACCGCCGCCGCGGCCGACGCCTGGAAGCCGAAGGCCGCCTGGTCGTACGCGCCGAGCGACGGCGGAACGAGCGCGGGTCCCAGGCCCGTGGCGAGAGTCGCCGGCTGCAGCGCCACTGCCGAGGCCGGCACGGGCTGGCCCTGGTTGAGGTAGAGGACGAGGCGACGCATCTCCTCGAGCGCCTGCGCCTGCATGAGGATGTAGTTCTTGGCCAGCAGCAGCGTGGCGATCTTGGAGAGTTTGCGCACCGAGGGGCTGTGCGCGTACGGGATCACGGCCCGCAGGTCGTCCAGCGCGTCGTTCAGGTCGTGCATGCGCCTCCTTTCGCGCGCGTTGATGCTCAAGCGCAGCGCCCTCTGCTCCTTGTTCTTGCGGCTCAGGGCGCCGCGGACTTTGCACGCGGCGGCCGCGGCTGCCGCCAGAGCCCCCGGGGCCGCGCCGGCCACCGTCACCCCCACGAGGCTCGAGCCCGGAGCTCCGAGCCCCGGGTCTCCCCCGCCGCTCCCAGCCTCGGCGCTCTCCGAGCGGTCGCTGTCATCGTCCGCGGTGCCCTCCCCGCTGCTTTCGTGCGCCGAGGGCCCTCCCCCTCCTCCTCCTCCACCGCCGACGCCGCCGCCGCCCTGGAGGAGGAGGTTGTGGTGGTGAGGGTGGTGGTGGTGGTGGTGGCCGTGGTGGTGCAGCGCCGAGCCTGAGTCGCGGTGGTAGCCGTGAAGTCGACCCGAAGAGTTCCACACCGCGGCCGCTGCCACGGCTGCAGTCGCTTCTCCGAGGCCTCGGAAGTGGCCCACGACGCCGCCACCCCCGGCGGCTTCTCGCGGCCCCGCGGGCCCCGTCTGGAGCTGCTGCAGGGCCCGCGGTCCGAACGCGGCGCTCTTCCGCTCGCTCATCATCAGCACCTCGGCCACGCCGCGCTCCATCGCGGCGGCGGCGGCGGCGCGGCGCGGCCCCGAGTGGCGCGTCCCGGCCCCGAGATCGGCGTCTCGCCCCGTGTCGCCTCTCCTCCGTCCACACCGGTTCTTACTCGAGGTGCCTCTTGTACTCCCCTCTCTCTCTCTGCGCGCGCTCTATCTCTCCTACTGCACTCTCTCTTATCGCTCGCTCTGCCTCTCGAGCGAGCGAGCCCACGACCACCCCTCTACATCTGCCAGAGCCGCCGTTGAGGAGTGTAAGCGGTGAGTTTTGAGTGTGAACGGTGGGTGAGCGTGAAGAGTGGTGAGGAGCGCTGAGCGTGAAGAGTGGTGAGTAGTAGAGGGTGGTTAGTAGTGGTGAGTGGAGAGTCGTGGAGAGTCGTGGTGAATCGTGGTGAGTAGTGGTGAGTCGTGGTGAGTAGTGGCGAGTGCGCGCTGGCGTGAGAGTCTGGCCGCGTGTGCGGAGCGCGTGGCGGAGCGAGTTTCTGTTTGATCCCCACCCTCCACCCCTCCCTCCCCCCCTCCCTCCCCACCCTCCACCCCTCCCCTCCCTCCCCACCCTCCACCCCTCCCCTCCCTCCCCTCCGCCGCTCCCTCCTCCTCCCGACGCCCCCCCCTCCTCCTCTTCCCACTGCACCCACCCCCCTCTCCCCTCCCTCGCCTCCCCCCACCCAGCTCACTCGCTTTTTGACGTCGACGCTTGGGGGGAGGGGAGGGGGGAGGGAGCTGCGGGTGGCGTGCGGGCGAGAGGGAGGGAGGGAGGGAGACGCGGGCGGGAGAAGGGAGAATGAGAGAGAGGGAGGTGGAGAGAGTGACGGGAGAGATGGACGCAGGGGGAGCACGAGGAGGAGAGGGGCGCGTGGCGCGGGGCGGATTGGGGACCCCCGGGCTCGCTCCGTCTCCCCCCTCCCCCCCGCGACCCCCTCTGCCCCCACCCCGGGTGAGGAGACCCCCGTTGCTGACTCCCCTGCGGTGCTCATGAGCGCTCAGAGCACCACGACTAGGGGGGGCGGGGGGGGGGAGTTGGGCTGCGAGGTGTACCCAGCCAGGAGCCTCACACTGGATTATTGCATCGATCTGTGCGGTCGCGCAGCGGTCAGCGCGCTGCGATACGAACCCCTCGAGCCCGAGTTCGATTCCCGCTCGCAGCCACCAACACCCAGTGACGATTGTCTGAACCGTTCCTGGGCCTCCTCTAGGTCGACTCAGCCTCAAATGAGTACCTGGTGCGGTGTGTGGTAAACATCGCCAACTGGGGAGACAAAGGCGGTCGGGCGTGGTGCTGGCCACCCACCCCCTCGTGTGCCGTGACGGCCTTCATAGGTGCTGCTCGCTAAAAGCACTTGCCCCAACAGCCTGTGAAGGCTACCCGGGGGAGCTTTGGTGGCCGGGACGAGGCTGCCGTGGCAGGACCCTCCCTGGAGCGGGGGCTGAGACTCGGGGTTCATGGTGACGAGCACGGCAATAACAATACTCATGATGTTGTTATAATTATAATGTTGTTATAATTATGTTGTTATAATCATAATAGAGACCCGGCGACTTACTTATTATTATACAATATTAATAATGAATACACTACACCACTAACATTCTTACCACACCACGCCACATTACACCAGCCCACACCACACTACACCACCCCACACCACGCTACACCACGCTACACAACACTACACTCCACCACGCATGTATGGATATTGAACCTCTTTCACACCGTACGTAACCACCCGCGCTAACCACACTACCCCACCGCACACCACGCTACACCGCTTACATTCACAGCCTTACATAGAGACCCGTAGACTTACATCGAGACCCCATAAACTTACATAGAGACCCATAGACACACATATGAACCCATAGACTCACATAGAGACCCACAGACCATCAGAGACGCCCATCGACATATAGAAAATAGACCCCGAGGCTCACGTAGATATCCAAAGACCTCCTTATACAAAGACCAAACGACTTCCATAGAGACCCATAGACTTACACAGAGACCCGTAGGCTTCTAGACGAGGTGGAAGAGGGGAGGGGAGGGCAGTGGTTTATGTAGTAGCCCCGATATGATTGTGGCGGTGACGCAGCTCCCATTACCGCGCGCGCACTATCTCGCTCCTGCAGGACCTTCTAGACTGGGGGGGGTGTTGGGGGTGTGTTACACTTATCTAGATACGGGGGTGGAGCGGGGGGGGGATTCGCTTGAGAGCCATTGAGGCGGCCAAGCGCAACTGTAATTCGCGATCCGGTAAATTATAGAATGAGTGCGAAGACAAAGATCCCCCGTGTAGCCTGTAAGAGACTGTTGGGGCAAGTGCTGTTCGTGAATAGCAAGCACCTATGAAGGATAGCACGGTGCACTCACACAAAGACAAAGATCCCCCGTGTAGCCTGTAAGAGACTGTTGGGGCAAGTGCTGTTCGTGAATAGCAAGCACCTATGAAGGATAGCACGGTGCACTCACACAAAGACAAAGATCCCCCGTGTAGCCTGTAAGAGACTGTTGGGGCAAGTGCTGTTCGTGAATAGCAAGCACCTATGAAGGATAGCACGGTGCACTCACACAACGACAAAGATCCCCCGTGTAGCCTGTAAGAGACTGTTGGGGCAAGTGCTGTTCGCGAATAGCAAGCACCTATGAAGGATAGCACGGTGCACTCACACAAAGACAAAGATCCCCCGTGTAGCCTGTAAGAGGCTGTTGGGGCAAGTGCTGTTCGTGAATAGCAAGCACCTATGAAGGATAGCACGGTGCACTCACACAAAGACAAAGATCCCCCGTGTAGCCTGTAAGAGACTGTTGGGGCAAGTGCTGTTCGCGAATAGCAAGCACCTATGAAGGATAGCACGGTGCACTCACACAAAGACAAAGATCCCCCGTGTAGCCTGTAAGAGACTGTTGGGGCAAGTGCTGTTCGCGAATAGCAAGCACCTATGAAGGATAGCACGGTGCACTCACACAACGACAAAGATCCCCCGTGTAGCCTGTAAGAGACTGTTGGGGCAAGTGCTGTTCGCGAATAGCAAGCACCTATGAAGGATAGCACGGTGCACTCACACAAAGACAAAGATCCCCCGTGTAGCCTGTAAGAGGCTGTTGGGGCAAGTGCTGTTCGTGAATAGCAAGCACCTATGAAGGATAGCACGGTGCACTCACACAAAGACAAAGATCCCCCGTGTAGCCTGTAAGAGACTGTTGGGGCAAGTGCTGTTCGCGAATAGCAAGCACCTATGAAGGATAGCACGGTGCACTCACACAAAGACAAAGATCCCCCGTGTAGCCTGTAAGAGACTGTTGGGGCAAGTGCTGTTCGTGAATAGCAAGCACCTATGAAGGATAGCACGGTGCACTCACACAAAGACAAAGATCCCCCGTGTAGCCTGTAAGAGGCTGTTGGAGAAAATGCTGTTAACGAGGAGCACCTTTGAAGGTCGGCATGGCGCACGAGTGGGTGAGTGGCCCGTGCTGATGTTTACACACCGCACCAGGTATTTGAGGCTGAGTGGACCTTGGAGAGGAACCTGGACCGGTTCAGATAATCGTCACTGGTGTTGTCCGTGAGTGGGAATCGAACTCGGGTCGCCGGGTTCACAGCGCAGCGTGCTAAGCGCTACACTACCGCTCCCCTAGCTCGACTCAGCCTCAACTGAGTACCTGGCGCGGTGTGTAAAAACATCGGCTCTCGTGAGACAAAGGCGGCCGGGCGTGGTGTTGGCCACCCACCCCCTCGTGTGCCGTGCCGCCCTTCATAGGGTGCTACCCGCTCACAGCACTTGCCCCAACGGTCTGTTAAAGCTCGGGGCTGGGTGGGCTGGGTGGGTGAATCTTTGTCTTTGACAAAGACGCGCAGCACGCGCAGCCCCCTGGCAGCGGCGGTGGCTGTTTAGGAGTCGCGGCGCCTCGCCGAGGACGAGGCAGGAGAGAGTCACCGCCGAGCCCACTCCGCGCTCCACTGCGCTGACAACTAATTACGCGGCACCTCTGATACCATTTGAGATTAGCGGCAGCGTGGGTGACCCCGGGCACTGCCACCCAGCTCCCCCCACCCCCAGCGCTTAGCTCACTGTGTCTGCAACAACATCAACAACACACAACAACACACAACAACGACGACGACTACACAGACAAATGCAAAGATAACTGCCTGCTGCTGCTGCTCGTGGTGACTGCCGGCGAAACGTCGGACTATAACCCCATTGTTCGATGTTGCAGTGTGTGGATCGCTCTTTTCAGCAGCAGTGCCTCCGATGAGCAGGGTCGGCTAGGTGCGGTGCGAAAGAATTTCAACAAACGTCGTAGACACAGCGCTAGCGGGGCTCGTGCTGCTTAGGCTGTCATGCATTTGGGCGACGTTGAGATCACGTGGCCACTTTGTTAGTGGCGCTGTTGGGTGGAGGAGGGGGATACGGCGCAAACATTTTACGAGCCCCCCCCCCCAAAAAAGAAATTATGAATCACAAAAAACACATACCGACACGCCGCCACCACCAACAACTACCGCCACTCGCCACTGAGTATCGGTGACGTCACCACGGCGTTTGTGCCAGGCTAGGTGCACTTTGAGGCCGCGTGAAGCGTCTTGAAGGCTCGCTGCTGGCAGGTCACGGGACAGACCTCAGGTGCCATGAGATCGCACCATTACCGACAGGCACCATCGCCGAATCTCACCATCAAAGCCATCCCTAGGGTACGGCGACTCGAGGCGGCCGCCCCGGGCCCCCACACCCCCCTACGGACCGCCCTGCCCCCCACCCATATTTGACCATTGCCCACCAGCGAGCGCCCCGCACTGCCGGGCCATCTCGCCGTGTCTGGCAGAGTGGCACGGGGGGAAGGGGGAGGGGGCGGAGTGTGGGGCGGTTCAAGCGACCTTGGCGCTGTGTCCGCGTAAATCAGCGCCCTCATCCCCCCCCTCGCCCCCCCCGCGCGCGGTGTCTATCGCCGCTATGACGATGATGGCGATGGTGATGATGATGATGTTTCCCCGGCAAGGGTTGGGGGGGAGAGAGAGAGCCGAGTGGAATTGCGCGCCGTCCGATTTATGAACGCGATTGTGCGACACATTTACCTCTGCGCGCACGAGTGGGGAGGGGAGGGGGGGTGGAGTGGGTGGGGGGGCAGTAGAGAGGGATGGAGAGATGGCGAGAGGGACCGAGGTGGCGGAGGGAGGGATGACACTGTCATAATAATAATGATGTTCTCGTTTTGTCCAGGAGACCCTCGGACTCTCGACACGTCTGGTGGCGTCTTCTCAGGAGGGTGCTGCCACGCTGGAATGGTCGAGAACTCTTCCCTGCTGACCGTGACGAGGGTCTGACAAGCGCGGAGACGATTTAGCCGCGCTCAAAAGGGCTCGCGAACCCACTTGTTGTACTGCACTGGTACCGGTACTGTCGGTTCCTTGTCGATTAGCAGCAGCAAGGCCTGAGAATTTCACGA